TATACAGGGTGTTTCAGAAGTACATGTACATCTGAACACCCTAGGATCAGGGGGTGATTCTGAGCAGAAAAGTCCTCTTGCACTTTTTGATCAGACTCACCCCTAAAAAGTTATTGGCAATTAAGGGTGGGCCAATGGGGAGTGATTTTTAAGCGGGCGCACATCCATGTGATATGCAGCATATGTGTGTGTGCCCGCCCCACCATTCTACGAGACAAAAGAGCGCAACGATATTGCTCTCTCTCTCTCTCTCACTCTTTCTCTCTCTCTTCGCTGGAATGACTAAGAGGGGAGAATGAATGGGGGAACGTAATTCACCCTCCACACGCAATAGAAGGACGATCAACCGATCGTCTTTCCATTGGTTACAGCGTCGAGTGGCGCGGGGAACGCGCGTCTCGGTTGAAAATTCATCCCTCCCCCTGAATTATAGCTAAGGAATGAAACTTGTGTCACTTGTTAAGTATTAAATGCTCAATTCAATGACACGAGTTTCATCCCTTAGCGCCTTTTGGGGACGGAGGGGTGAATTTTCGAATGTGCGAAGAGAATGAAAAAAAAATTTGTTTTCAATTCAAAAACTAATTCCTCCGACCCCAAATACGACTAAGGGATGAAATTTGTGCCAACGTGTTGAGCATTTAATACTCAATACGTGACACAAATTTCATCCCTTAGCACCTGTTAGGGAGGGAGGAGTGAATTTTTGAAAGAGCGAAGAGATTGAAAAAAAAATTTTTTTTCAAATGAATTCTCCAAAGTGCGGAGATTGAAAAAAAATTTTTTTTTTCAATTCAAAAATTCATTCCTCCGACCCTAACTGCGACTAAGGGATGAAATTTGTGCCAACGTGTTGAGCATTTAATACACAATGAGTGACACAAATTTCATCCCTCAGCACCTGTTAGGGAGGGAGAAGTGAATTTTTGAAAGAGCGAAGAGATTGAAAAAAAAATTTTTTTTCAAATGAATTCTCCAAAGTGCGGAGAGTGAAAAAAAAATTTTCTTTTCCATTCAAAAATTCATTCCTCCGACCCTAAGCGGTGGATTGAGTTTTAAATGCTCAACACGTTGGCACAAATTTTATCCCTTAGTCGCAATTAGGGTCGGAGGAATGAATTTTTGAATTGAAAAAAAAAATTTTTTTTTCAATTTCTTTGCGCTTTCAAAAATTCACTCCTCCCTCCCTATTAGGCGCTAAGGGATGAAATTTGTGTCACTCATTGAGTATTAAATGCTCAACACGTTGGCACAAATTTCATCCC